AATTTCACTAAGAATTAACAATTATATATGAATGACAACGGGGTGGGTTCAGGGCGGGGCACCCCATTTCTATCCCTGCCCCATAGTCAAGGCACTCTACCCCATCTTTGCTCTGTCCCTAGTGTCAAGCAGGTTGAAGGCAAGGCAGCCACTCCTCGATATCGGGTGAGTTCAAGGGCAAGGCACCCCACTCATTAAGGATGGGGAATTCTCGAATTTCCCCACCCCATCCCCAGTATTGGGTGGGTTCAAATAAATGTGTAAATTGGGTCATGCTAGGTTGAGCCTTGGGCTAGGCCATGCCAGGTTGCAGACTAAGCCAAGCCCAGCCCGATCATACTTTTGATGTATCCAATTGTTTATATATACAATTAGACCTATTCATTGGACAGGAACCCCAAACGGCTCGGTCTGACATGTTATTTTTCAAGATTGGAAAATTTTAAGCTGGTGGGCTTGAGCTTGAGTTTTTTCAAATAAACCCAGCCCGATACTATTACATATATAAAAAAATACTTATATATACTTCTTAAATTATTAATAGATATCAATTTACTATTAACAAATATAAATTAAATTATTACTAAATTAGTATAATATTAGTTTATAAAAGTATAATGAAAATAAGTACAGATCGGGTTTCAATGAATCTGCATCTTTAACGTCAAACTCTTCTTCTTCTTCTGTATCTCTACCCAGCCATAGTCCAGAAGCTCATCGGCGACCTCATTGCAAACCGACGTTCGTGAAATTAATCGTAAAATCTATTGGTGACGGTAAGAAATCAATCAGCGTTCGTGAAGTCAGATGTAAAATCTACCAGTAGCATAAAAAAATCAACCAGTAGTCATCTAAAATCATTCAGCGGAACAAGTAATCTGTATCTCGACGTCAAATTCTTCTTCTTTTTCTTCTTTTTCTTCTTTTTCTTCTTTTTCTCTTCCTCCTCTCCTTCTTATTTTCCCTTTTTATTTTCTCATTTCTGTCGACTGCTGTGACGAAGCTATTGCCGGCAGATTTCTATCAATATACTTTTCTAGTCTACTCTGTTTTTCTTTAGAAGTTGCTGTATTGCCTGGTGCCCGTGACCATGTCTGAAACTGAAACTCAGGAAGTCGATCCAATCAGGAGAAATATATACTACAAAGAAAGAAGAAAAGAGGAAGAAGAATAGGGAGAGGAGGAGGAAGAGAATAAGAGATAAATTTACCGCTCGCCGCTGGTTGTCGGTCATTGGTTGATTTTTAATGCCAAACATCACTGGTGTTCTGGTCAAGTATGGTAAGAGATGATGAGGAGAGAGCTAAAATGAGAGGAAGTCCAAAAGTGTGGGTTTTATTGCTTTTTTGTCATTTAGTGGCCGGTTCAACCATAGTTAACAGAGCAATTTTGTTAGATCTCTGTTAATTCAACGAGGAGACGTGATCAATTCTGGTTGGTGGGTTCACACTTCCCGTGAACCCACGGACTCTAGATGTATTGATGCGGCACCACCGCACCACCTTAAATTGGATGAAATGACGTAAGATGAATCCATAAGGACCATAACAATGCATCCAAGGCCATGATTTCACGGTTTAAGCCCAGCGCTATGCTGGAGTGTTGATCCGCCGACGAATTTGTGCACCATGGTTTAACTGTAATTGAGGGCATTCTTTCATAGCCTAAAAGGCCTGGCTTATCTAACTCGGGCTTTTACTAAGGCCCACAATTTTCTAGTCCTCGGTCCAATACTTCTAGGCCTTCGATTGTGGCATACACCATAACTGACACTGGTAAAAAGGATTGCAGAACTCTAGAAACCTGGTAATCGATTCAAATTTTTTGCGGTTCAGCCATGGTTTGACCAAGATCAATGGTTTTATCAATTCCATGTGTTTCATATTTTGAAATAAAAAAGGGCTGGACCCGGTTCAATAATCCAGTCTAGTCCAGTTAGACCGTTGGGCCTAAGTTTGTGTTTTTTTCCCCCTGGTATTGACATAAAAGTCCTTGAGTCATCTGTGGTGGCATAGGGATGGCAAAAATATGAGTTTGGGGAGGTTTTTGTAAATTCTAGACCTTATTCATCTCTCTAGACCTCCCAACTTGTATTCTCTCCAAAACATGTAGCAGGTTGGATTTTCAACATTCAAACCCTCCCCACATATGTAAAAGCAAAACCCTCCCCGACTCTACAAACCTTCCCACATTTGAGGGTGAGGCAGGTAGGGTAGACGAATTGGGTTTAGAATTTGTATCTAATTTTCTATTATTTCCTATTATATAAAACCAATAAACAAGTAAAGTAATGGAAATAAATATCAAAATTTTCAATTATTTGATTAACTATGGATTCCTTTGCATAAATTTAAAATAATATTAAATTCAATGCCTATTTACATGTTTTTCAACAATATGCAGGTTAGGGAGGGTCCGACTTAGCCTAGTACCATACCCTACCTGATGAGGGCAGATTTGGCCCTCCAGTGAAATTGCGACACGTGGCACCTCGTGACAACTAGGCAAGCCCCCAGGCAACAACTTACCAAGTTGGTCCCCCCCCCACCCGGGCACCGGTCTAGCTGGCCT